TGGCCCAGCTGCGCCCTCGGAGCTCGCGAGGCGGCCGCAGAGCCGTAGGCTGGACCGAGGAAGGGGCGAGGGCCGCGCCCAGGTGCCCGCCGCCCCGGAGGCAGGATGAGCATCGAGATCCCGGCGGGACTGACGGAGCTGCTGCAGGAATTCACGGTGGAGGTGCTGAGGCACCAGCCCGCGGACCTGCTGGAGTTCGCGCTGCAGCACTTCACGCGCCTGCAGCAGGAGAACGAGCGCAAAGGCGCCGCGCGCTTCGGCCATGAGGGCAGGACCTGGGGGGACGCGGGCGCCGCCGCCGGGGGTGGCACCCCCAGTAAGGGGGTCAACTTCGCCGAGGAGCCCATGCACTCCGACTCCGAGGACGCGGAGGAGGAAGAGGAGGAGGAGACGGCGGCGGCTGCGGACGCAGGGGCGTTCAATGGTGAGGATCGGACCCCTCTGCGCCCCCGCCCCTTTCCCTTGAATCCCACAGCTCCGCTCGCCAGCCTCGGCCGGTGTTCTCCACCTTCCCTACCTTCCCTTCGCGCCCACTCCCTCAGCATCCATTTCTGTCTCTCCCACTCGCCCACCTTCCTACTCTGCTCTCTTGTCATGCCCGCCCCCTCTTCCCCCTCCTCTGGAGGTGGGGGAGCTGAAAGGGTTTGGTTCCCTCTGCCCATCTGCCCCTCCTTCCTGGGCACGGCGGCAGAGGACGGCCGGTTCAGGGTGGGCGGCAGCTATTAAGTCAACTTTCGCTGTGGTTGGAGCTATTTCGCTTGGAGGCTATCATTGTGCATAAAGGAAATCGGCCCACTCGGCGTCCTTTTTCAATCCTTATCTTTATTACTGGAGTGTCCGAAGAGAAAAGGCGTAGGGTGCTCAATTTGGTGGGTTTTACTGTTGTTAGGACGGTAGATTCTCTTAAAGCAAGAAATTAGACTGATAAGGCCAGAACAAAATTTATGGTAACAGCTCTGGCGTTCTTGGGAACAGAGTAATCTATTATTTGCCAATTTACCAATACCCTGTGTTATTTTTGGACACTCAACAAAGGATCCCATTTAGTCTGCAACCCACGGGGTCTCTGGAACGAGGAAACGGGCTAATGGTTTGCTTTTTTATATAAAACACATATTGAATGATTTGGTGCATTAAAAAAAAAAAAGTGTGTGAAAAACACTGTAGGAAGTTCCGAAAGCTTGTTGGTTGTCTTTAGAATGAAGAGCCGGTGAGTAATTGTGAGGACTGTGCCAGACACTGAAGCGAGAAAGAATGAATGGGAAAGAAAAAAGGAATTTTCTCAAATAGCTGCTTCTGACAAGTCCCACCCCTTCTGCTTACAACCCTCACTCCCTAACACACACACACACACACACACACACACACACACACACACCACCACACATTTGCAGCCTCCTATGTTTACACAGCCTGCCTAAATCCCGTTTTTATGGCACTCCAAGCTGAAATACCATGGTGTGCAGATGTGCAAGTGTGTTTTCTTTGTGGTGTAAGGCAAACACTCATGCAGCATTGCACCAGCTTTTATTTATTTATTCTGCCTGTGGTTTGTGTGTCTGCAGTGTATTTCATATAAGGAAAACATTTTAAAGTGTCATTTCATTTTCTTGTGTACATTCCTAGGAAGATGTTTTCTTTGCAGCATTGCATGTTGAAATGGGTTATAAGATGAATCTGTTTTTAGATTGTCCAAAAACAATCACAAAAACCCAGGAAATTAGTGCCCTGTGAAGATAAAAGGGAAGGTTTTGCTTAAATATTCAATTTTAATCTTTCCCAGGATACGTAATCATAAGTCGTGATTGTTTTGTATGCTCAAGAATTTAATCAAAGGCTTTTCTTACTAAAAACAAGAGAAAAATAAAAGAATATGTATTTTAAATAAATTAGGAGCAGTAGCCAATAGTGGATGGCACAGACAGGGCAGAGGCATCTCACACTTCTTTTATGTTTCCTACACAACCCTGTGTACACTTGTATAAACACACACATTCACACACACAAAGGGAAAGGATTTATTTCCCAAATTAGAGGCAACTAGGAACTAATAAACATATATACGTTCAATATATCATGCTGTTAATATAACTAAAACATTGTATAATGCTTTTGAAGTAATGTATTGATTCCATTTTCCCCTTAAAACAATGTACATTGTATACAGAGAGATTTAATTTTCACTCTGCAATGTAGAAACAGACCTTTAGC